GGGTATCTCCTAGTCGAGCAGTCTCGACTAGAGTCTTCTTACTTGTTTTTTTTCGATTTCTAGCCTCTAGCTTCAATAGCGCCGAAATAAACTGGGGACACACAGACGGGCATTGCACAAAACCGATATACTCATTTCACTTTCGTGAAAGAATATAAAAACAAGGAGGAAGGCTCTAGCCGAGACTGCTCGACTAGGAGATACCTTGAACCCTTATTCTTATTTTATGCACACACACATACACATGCATCCACACGCACGCATAAGCCCGCGCTCTTCTAACTGCGCAATAAGCAGCGACTGCGCCTTCCCTGCGCTGCAGTACAGGCAATATTATGAGAATTTGTACTGCGTATGGTGTACACGAGTATGCATACTAAATTTCAGCACCCTACCTCTTATAACTTCTGAGATCTAGGTATTCATACAGACGGACAGACAGACGGATAGGGCTATATCGACTTAGCTTGTCGTCCTGATCACTTCATGGAGTCTGCGACGACGCCTTCTTTAAAAATGCCCATGTATATTAAGTATCAAACGTATATATCAAGTCGGTTAGTTTAAGTCCAAGAGCGCCATTGGTACGCATAAGTAAAGTTAAATGGGTTATGGCTCTGCTGAAGTGGTCATTCACTATACTTATTTGCGAAATGAAGGAGTATTTTGGTGTTGAGCCATTGTCCTTCTTGCATCGCGTCTGTTCGTTCACTTGTGTGTTCATCTATAAAAAAATAGACTATAAATTTAAAAAAGTACATCTCTTGGAGCTCGTTTTTTTTTTTAGAGTCACTCCTGATACCTGATCTCAACCTCTTCGTACACCAGCAATGATTATTATGCAGTCTGTAGCACCTCACAGGGCCATTCTCACTTGGATTCTATTGCACTCTGGATGTCTCTGTACAGTGCACACATATAAATAATTTCAAGTTAGTTATAGTTTTCGGTGTGCAATAGCAAGGGACTTATAACAGCAGCGACTCCATCAGAAGCAGGCCCACAGCACCTGTACAAATATTTTGCAGGTAGCTACTCAGTCCTCGACTTTCAGCTCTTGCCATGCAGTTCAAGCAGACTGCGAAACGCACAACTAATGCTGCTAACGATGTTCGCATTTCACATTGAGTTCACTCAACCACTGATTTGGAGCACCGATTGAAGTTAGAATATTTTTATATTTCTCATATCCTGTCTGCCATATCATCAATGCAGATGGCTTGATGTGACTGATAACATTATATCATTAGACACTTATATAAATCTAATTCATCAATACAAAAGACAGCATCGGATAAATGAGACATTATTTTAGGCTAACATAGATATCTAAAATCGAAAGTAGGGTAAACGATTTCACTACTTTTTGTAAAAATATTTATTCGAATCTAAAATTTGTAAAAACGGATATCTTTGGACAGACGCATTCAGTATGCAACTATTTAATATTATTATTATAAAATTATTAAATATTCTCTTATTACTCTTCGCATTCACCGCCTTCGCTATAATCCATACTTTATATTGCATATAATGGAAATATTTCATTATACATATATGGCGTTTTCATATATTATTATTGCATCGCTTATGTAGAAAAGTTGTATTAGTTTTGTCAGCTAGTTTTGAGAAAATTTCGATGATTTTTTAAATGTCTGCACTAAGAAAAGTTCAAAGTAATTGCTTTTCTAATTTAGGTTCTTTCAACATCTTTTCAAAGTACTTAAACGTTTTGGCTTTAATTAAAATTTCAACATGCTTTACATGTAGCCGTTCAAACACACACACACACACACACAGTCGCTTCCACACCCGCATAAATTAACTTTGCGTAGTTCGTGTCCCATGCCGATCCCCCCTAAACGTTGCTGTAAGTACCTTATCTTAATGCGCGCCATATCTACCCTAATGCAGATAATAGGACAGGCCGCTGTTTAAAGTCTAACAACCCTTTTTATATGCAAATTGTTGCTCTGTGCGCAACGCCCCGGCGTCCCTTCACCACATCTCCCATCGCCGCGACGCTCCAATATTCCGACGCCTTGGCTGCCAACTGACTGACTGTCTGACAGCCAAGTTGCGCGCACAACTTGACATTTTTTGTACATATATACATATAAATATATATATATATGTATATGTATGTATGTATGTATGTACAGTAGAGGTGCGCTCCTTTTTTAATTTCCCCTATTTAAACATGCTGTGAAAAGGAAAAGCAATGAATATACCGTGGGTGTGTGTGAATCCTGCGAAGCTCTGGAATGGGCGATAACTCGCCTAAGGTTTACTCAGCAATGTGGTCCTTAGTCTATGTGTGTACTTCTTGTGTTTCTATACAGCATTTTATAAAGCCTTTACGGAGGGTACATGAGTATATTGGTTCTGCTCATGTTCGACTATTTGTCCTCATCAACGAAAATCGTTCAAGATTTGAAATATCTGTAAATTCGTGACAACTGAGTAAGAACTTCAGAGTCAGGCATTACTGACTGCGAAATACTCATCCCACACCGCCACCATATTAGAAGATACAGCTGTTTTCTGCTTATCGTTGTACCAGGCGCATGGTAGTCGATGAATGAACGAAGATATATGTATATTTAGGTTTTATGGCTCTAAAACTAAAAGTAAAAGTATGATTATACTTTGTTGTTTATTAAATTACAAATACGGTGGATTAATCTATATAATCTCTCACATTAGAGCAAATCGATAGAAATTGCAAGCCGATTACAGCCATTACCTCACTCATGAGTTAAATTTAATGATCCGTTAAGGAGTATTATACAGTCGGTAGCGTTCAGCTACAGCTCTCTAGTTTGTTATGTCTGCCTGTTCGCGTTGGAATTTTTCTATACTTATATATATATATATATATGTATATATACATACATACATCCAGATATACACATACCTATGTATATATACATACATATGTATATGTACGTAGAGAGTGTGTATGGGAAAAGTTTAAAATAATTTGCAATTTAAATAGTTTTAATTAACTTTTACTAATTTGTCGACGCTCAACTTGCTCAACTTGGCAAACTAATTTTAAAGTGATTTATTATTTAAACGGTTTGATGATTGACAACGCCCAAAATGGGCGCTAAATTGCCTACGGCCTAATTAGCAAGGTGTGTTAAGCGCACTGTGGTCTCCCAGTCGATTGAGTGAAAACGCAACGAAAATGGCCGCAAAAGGTGTTCAAAACACAGACATAACTGGGAGAGTCAAAAAGTGTTATGCTATGGCTACGGATATCGCATATTCAGATGTTGCTGACAATATGAGAACCCTGAAACCATTGAAAATGGGAAATCAGTGTATAATAGTTGTGTGTAAAAGTATGTAACGGGCAGAAGAAATCATCGCAGACCCCATAAAGTATATATATTCTTGATCAGCACCACGAGCTGAGATATAGCCCTGTCCGTCTATCCATCCGTCCGTCCGTCTGTATGAGTGCGTCGATCTCAGAAGATACAAAAGCTAGATGGCTCATTTGAACATTATTAGACCTGGAAGCTTCAGATTTACTGCGTATATACATATCCAAATTTGAAGCTTCCAATTTAGATAGTTAAGTTACTAATAACTTCCTTTACCGATTCCTCAAATAAAATTGTTACGCTTCTTTAGGGGCGTCATTTTTTCATTTTTTAAGAGTAAGTATCCACATTTTGCATCTAGGTTACCGTTAACTTGTTCTATGAGGTGGCCAAAAATAAAGTGCCTACATTATTACATTACATTATTAGAGCTAAACTTGGCTACTAAATTGCTGATGGGGTGTGAATGAGTATTCCGCAGTCGGTTTACTTTTACGTTCTGAATCGAATAAAATTTATAAATAAAACACCATATTATATAAATGACTTGCCATTGATAGCTTTTGGCACGAATTTAAGAAATGAGAAGGTAGCTAAAAATATAGTTACAGAATAAAATATCTATCATACTTGCTGTTTGACTAGGCCATTACAATGCAATCATTGTAGGTCCAAAAAATTCCCGACTTGCAACTACCAGATCCATAAATATATGTGTGGTTATATCGACGTATCAGTATCAGTGCCAAACCCATTAAAAGGATAAAGAATATACAAAATAAGCCGGCATAGATTCTCTTGGTTGTGATGAAGCTGAATCTAAATTTTAATGTAAAACTCGTCAAGATCCACTTAAAATCTTTTGATTACACATACGCACCGTTGCCCACTCTTCAATAAGTCAAAGTTGCAACGTCCAATCAAATGGCCACAGTCGCGGCATTTCGATCTTTCGAGTACTTGGCGCGTCTCAGAAAATAGTCTCTTCTTGTACTTGCTTATGATTTCAGCAATACTTTTACACGTTCGCGCCACAACAAGGCGAGTGTGAGAGGGCTTCTCTGTGCAGCTTTTGGGATTGAGGTTTGTCATATTCAAGAGAATGTAATGTATTCATAGTCATCATATAATAAAACGTATATCTTTGAATGAGAGTAAGAAAATGATCTCGGCCTGCTACGCTAGGCACTCACAGATCTGATAGAACGCCAGTGGCATGAAGTTAGTCCAGAATAAATATATATGTATGTAATATGTCAATTCATTGGCTATGAGTTTTCATTACTTTCTGTCGCTGTGTTCTTTTAAAATCATTTTATCGGTAAAATGTAAATAGGGTGAGAAATGGGTCAATAATAAGAATTCGTAATGAGTTTCAGGCAATTATGTAGAAGAGAGTCAACGCTGTAGACCCTGTTAATAGAAATATTGAAGCTGATTTCAATTATAACGACGCCGGACCGTTACGTTGCCAGATGACCAATCCGCTGGCCTTAATTTTCAATAAAAAGTCCGCGATGCAAAATGTAATTAACAACAAATGACTGAGATGTGGAAAACAATGGCGAGCCGCAGACGATACACTTAGAGCTAATTACATTTGCAGCGGCTCTGAAATGATGGCTGGCAATAAAGGCAAATGCCACGGGACAAGAAATTCACATTCCTAAAGTATTCTGGTTTCCATTAACGACAAGCGCTGCGTCAAATTAAATATAGCAAATAAATTAATAGTAGCGAACGAACAATTTAAGGCCATATAATTGATTTAAAAATGTATTTATTTCTTCATAGTGCAGCTAATGAAAAGTTTCACATTGGTTGAAAGGAATTTTGGAAGCCAAGTGCCATACACAGTATGTAATTAGTATATATGTATGTATAAACATTCCAGATACATCCATGAAAAAAGCCGTTTTTAACTCAAAACGCTCGCAAAGTAAAAGCTACGGGCTCGAGCCACAGCATTTTTGGCAAGTGATGCGAAACTAATGTGCGCAAAAGTCGACTACGAAAATGGTTACCATTGGCTATTTTGTCGGAGACGCCCACTGTGCAGCTGGCTTTCACCATTCAACTCTTTGACGGTCCTGGCCACCAAATGTTGGCGCAAATTGCAATTATATTAAAAGCAGTCGCCAAATGAACGAATTAAAGGAGCCAACAATTAGTTAGCTGACCACACAACTGAAATGGGTATTGAAAGAGCATTGAAATTTCAGCTTTTGCTTCTATTCAGTTCAATTTTTCGTCTCTAACTGTCAAAGACTCTATAATGCATTTCGCCAAAGCCTTTATAGCAAATGGGACTGTGATACATTAAAATTTTAAATTAGTAACTCTTATTTATATTATACTAGCTGGCCCGGCAAACGTTGCATTGCCCTATCCATTATTTCTAGGTAAA